TGGAAGGAATTATTACTGGAAGATAATCAAGGAATGAGCTTCGCTATGCGGGGGTTAGGAGGTTTAGTGACGTTGGGCTAATTTTGGGACTGATCGCATCCAGGGGTTGTAGCTCGCGGGAAATGATGGAATGATGGGCACTATAAAAGACAGTGCGGATTCGATCTCTGTGGCTTCAACCAAGTGCCGGGAGGCTATCAAAATAGCCAATAAGGTGCTTGTACGTTACCGCAGTCGATTAAGATCTTGTACTGTGCCCCAGCCATGCTAGAGTTAAGTGGATCCAAAGTGGGTAGTGGATAAGTACCTATCTTTTTAGACCGCAGAGTCGGACCTTGATGCTTACGCGTTCTTTAAAGCGCGACTAAATAAAACAAACCACTTGGAAAGAATAAAAATAAAAAACCAAAACTTTTGACGCTGTCCAAACGATGCAAGTCTCATCAATCCTAATCAGCTTATTCAGTAATTTTTTTTCTACGATTTGTTAAGTCATTACAATTACCTATGTACGCAAGATGACTGGAAATTGTATCGCAAATTTTGTGCCCGAAAACCCGGATACCTGCATGAACAACGTCCACCTTATTTCCGTCTTACTGCCACTTACGTACCTATTTGTAACACTAAATCATTATCTGGTAAAATCACGTGCTAATATATAAATAAATGCAATCAATCTCGACGCAAGGGTTAACTTCCATGTCAAGACAGGCAACATAAGGGGCCAGGGATGGAAACAAGAACCAATTGTCCAACGAAGCAGTGGAATAAACAAGTAATCAGTATTCTGTCAACCGGCCGACTTCCTACCGATGGCCATGAAATCATTACCACACGAGTAATTTTTGCAAATACTTGCCTCCGAAATTGCTCTAAATTTTTTGCAATCACCGATCTCATTCGGGGCTCCGTTCCGGTCGATCCGTCGATCCCGAGACTCGTTTTTATACCCCACGGGTTCGAGTGTCAATCGAATGGCGTATGCGCTGGAGTGGATGGGCTGGAAGGCCTATGCTGGATTTTCATATTCCTCCTATACGCAACACGACTTGTTGTCCGTGGAATGCATCCTCAATTCATCAGTCGTATTCAGGGATGACCAGTAGTGACCACGGAGTCAGTCAAGAAAGCAGCAACACGGCAAAATTTGGGTAATACTTATGCAGAAATCAGTCTGGGAAGCAACATAGAGTTCCTCAAAGCCCTCGCTCGATATACTGCTAGAAAGAAGAGCAAGTGAGTCATGGCCAAAATGGTCTAGCAAAGACGGAACTGAGCTCATTGGCATCTAGGTCACCGAAACTGGCAGTTTATTGAAATATGGCTAAACGATAATGTTCAATACAGCTAACGAACTGACTATGATCTAACCTTCCATTGCAATGTCTCAGAGTCAAGATTATTCCGCTTCGCTGTCTCCCAGTCGTTACGAATGATGTCTGCGCGTTTTGCATCTCGAGGCGCGATGACAGCTTGGAAGGGCACTGGCGCGGTCAGGAAACCCTGAGTGATTTTTGAAGGGTCTGGCACTATCTCTTTTCCGTTGCTGTCAAGCGGACGCTTGAAGTCAAACGCCCACAACAGCCTCGAGATGCCGAGGAAGAGACTCCGATCCGCCACGTGGATGCCGGGACAGATCCGCCGTCCGGCCCCGAAGGCAAACTGGTCGCGTTTCGAGACGTCTGGGTTGACGGCTGAGTCGTAGAAGTTCTGCTTGTCGTCCTTGAAACGATCGGGGTCAAATTGACGCGCATTCGGGTAGCGGGCATCGTCGGCATGAATCGCGTAGACGTTATTTACTAGCGCGGATCCTTTCGGCAGTCGAAATCCCATATAGTGATCCTCCTGTGTAAGGGCGTGAGGTATAGCGCCCATGATAGTTGTAGCGTTCCAACGGAGAGACTCTTTGACGCACCCGCGTATATATGGTAAGTTTGGCTCGTCCTCGGGCATGGGTACCCTGTCCGCACCCACCACGCGGTCTAGCTCCTCCCTTGCGCGTTGTTGCACTTCGGGGAAAATGAGCATAGCGCAGACAAACCAGATCAGTGTATTAGCGGTCGTATCCGTCCCCGCCTCTAAGAGCGTGCCGGCGATGTACGCGGCGAAGTCGTCATCAAAGCCGTGCTTGTTCTGTGCTCGAACGAGACCTACACTAAAAGAAGGGTTTGGCTTATCCGAGGACAGTATATCGGCTTTCGTCTTGTCCCAGTGAGATCTATAAAGGGCATTTTCTCGTCTGTGGTTTTTCACGGCACGCTGCTTCGTGGGGAGCATCCACGTCGGAAGCATCTGCAATACAGGGAGGAAGTCCATCAATGCGGCTAGGCCCGTTTGCGCGAGTAGGAGGAATTCTTTAAGCACCACCATGAGCTCCTTCAAGTTAGGGTCCTCGTAGCTCGAGGTTCGGAAACCAAAGGTGGTGGTTGTCATCAAAGAATTTGAGTATCGCCGAAAGTGATGCTTGAAATCTTTGGGGTCGCTGAGGATGTCATACATCATTTGTTGGATCTCAAGTTCCTGGTAGGGGTAAAAGGCTTGAGCGGCCTTGATGTTTAGTAGGTCGTGCATGATCCGCCGAACCATCCGCCAAGTTGGTCCATATCCCATCAGCAACACTCTGAGCCCACCACTGGCTATCCTTTGACCTATATACGCATCTAATCGGTCGCTACTTATAGCGCTTTTCCTGTCCAAGATGTCCTTTATCGCATGGTCGCTCGAGAGAACAATCATGGTTTTGGTTCCCAGTATTAGGCTATACACCGGTCCATACTCTTGTGCCCACTTCTGGAACTGCAAATGGACATCACGATCAGGCATCTGCAACTAGTCAATAGAGGCACGAATAGGGTTTCTGCTGCAAACGCAGTAACATCAAGCCTTACCAGATGAATGTTTCCTAGAATGGGTATGGTTGGAGGTCCCGGCGGAAGGTCTGCTGGCCGTCGCCCGATTTGCAGAAGCTTACGGGCGATGATAGCCAGCAATATGACGCCTAGAGAGGCAATGAGTTGAGATGAAATGTTGGCCATGTCTGGAATTTCACGATGCGTGAGAATGGGCGACTCAAGCGACTACCACAGACGTTCTGTTAGCTGGCTTGCAACGGTACTTTAAGAAACCCCAAGGTTAAAGTCATCTGCGTAAGGGAATAAGAGTTCGGACTTTTTGATAGTTGCTCTGTCCAATAGGATACCTACCTCCTCACCCCAGACCACAAGATGATGTCGGTACTCCAACGTTTTCATGCGCAATAATGCGGCACAACAGATATATAATCTAGTAGTCATTAGAGCGGTCAGCCCGCATTGGGGAATTTGATGTTAAAGATGCCTTAGGGGAAGCGCCGAAATTCGGGTTAGAATTCGCCACTTATATTACCGCAGGAGACGTAGTGTTCTAACGTGATGATCAAAATTGGAGTACCACACATGAAGTATGCTGTGTGACGGCCGTTACGTCTACGCGAGATGCACCAGATAAGCACCCGAAGCGTATACCAGGTATGAGCAGTCTGTACATTCGTATAGAGTGGTAATACTATTAAACATATACTTCATATACCTAGTTTTGCTGTTAGCTAGGTGTTCATATGTCTAGTAACCCAGGTTGTGATTAGACATCGTAATTCCTGTCAAAACGGAATAACCACCATCTACGATTTTCTCAGTGATCCTAACGCACCCAAACCCTCAACAAGATTGATAAGGTTAAGGAGATCTTCTACCTATTATACTACATATGATACTACCTACTCTATATATCTATCTCATTATTCAGTTACATTGATCTTCCTGTACATTTGCGGCTTGAAAGTGAAGGGGCTAAAGTAGAATTATGATTCTCTGCCTAGGTTAATAGCTGCCTAGGTACCTAAGTATATATTCAAATTTGTAATACTAGCATCGCTCCCATTGTCGTCAGTTTCCAGGTTATCTTGACTTCCTTCCGACCGCGAATCATGCCATATCTCACTCTGTATGGCCTGCTTTCACTCATAGCTTTCCTCCACGGTGTCGTAGGGTTGGTCCGCGCGGGCCTATCAGTACACTTCTGCCCGTTATACCTTGCTTTCTTGTCCCTCAACTGCATACTTTTGCATCTGCGAATAAACTCCAGTGGGAGTATGTCGAAGCCTAGTTTGCTCATTTGTTCACATAGGATGAGGCCTGCGCTTGTCGGATCGATTTGCAGGATTGGCACTATCCTTTCGCGCCAGATAAGTAGCCGAGCGAAAAGCCATTGCTGCTCAGTGCAGTCGCATTGACATGCCTCGTCGGTATGAAATATTCTTAAAGTTTGCGGTAGTCCGATTTCGTCGAGTTTGATCTTGCACCCTCCGGGATGCACATCGCAGCTTGGGATGTTCTTAGAGTATAGGGTCTCGGATGGAAAGTTTTCTTCGTATATGAATTCATTTAGAAAATCCATATTGATGATGATATCAGCAGTCTGTCTCTGGATTGTTGAGATTTATGGGAAGTCTACGATTGAATCAGCTGGTATAAGCCTTACCTTACCCCTTTTTAAGTGTTCCGGAATGTTGCTGCTCTAATCGTCGCGGCGGAAACACAAAGAGCTGGCGCGAAACTATCATTTCCTATCTGTATCTGATACGGAATCAGTTTCCTGTTGAATTGATTATATTTACACATAACAAGGCATTAACTGATTCGTCTCATTGACATGTTCGCGTTGAAGCAAGTTGACAAGTTTCAATGTGATGAACTATGAAAACTACCTAGTCAACACTCCGATTTCATTTTATGTGGGCCAATGTGTTCTTTATCACGCTGGGTTATAAAACTTTGCATACTGTACTATCAAGTACGTAATTTGAGGGACAAATTCATTTGGCGGTGTCTCTAACACGTGAATTTGAAAGATCACCTTGTAATATAGCTTAAATAGATGAAAAGTGAAGGTTTGGATAACTGATTTATAGAATTAAGGGATAAAAGTTGAGGATGAGATCATTAAGCGGGGCAAAAGATTGGACGAGCAGGGAGTCGAACCCTGGGCTTCTCGCAGATTCCTAGGAAGGTGCAAAGCGAGCACTCTACCACTGAGTTACACGCCCCTACTTCTTTTAGCAGATCTATCTAGCTAATGAAAGGAGAATTCCATTACAACCTAAATAACAAGACTACTTTATGTGCCTGACTACATTACACGCTACCAGAATAACACCGATCCCATAGCATATCTTTGAACATTTTACGTTGCATTACTCCAGTACGGTTACGAGATGATCAACATCGTCAATCAACCACCTATCTGTCTTTCACGTTCTTCACTATTCTCCAATGTAATCTTTTTTTATCTACTTCGTAGCCTCTACCGCTTATGCCCCTGTTCTATGGGCGATAGGGCGGCCACTAAGAACGCCTCGGTAACAAATCAGCCATCTCCCGATAGGCTGTTATCTCTATCCAATGTCCTCCGTTACATGTACGCATCGTACAAGCCAAAGACTACTAATCTCCGGACATGGTAACCCGGTGTATCCATCCGTAAATTGATATGATGAACACGATCGTGTTCATTGCGCATTAAACTGCCCTAGAGGTTTTGAGTACCTAAGGTCATTGGTCCCGTAACTTCGATCCAAGAATCTTCCATACCTACCTACATACCAATAAACCACGGGTTGTCCATGACCTAGGAGCTTAGCATCAAGAATAGTTTTCAGATACAACTATATCTCATAAATACTACTTACCTACCATATCAAACTACCATGGCACCACACAACATTCAAGATGAAGGCCCAGCAGACCTGGAAAACGAGCCGGCAGGCACCGAAGTTAGGCCCCCAACACCCCCTCCGATGTCCGCAAAACCACCGCGGGTCCTGATCATTGGTGCCGGATCGCGAGGCCGCGTCTACGGCCGGTGCACCATCCAATCCAGCAATGGGGTCGTTGCCACCGTGTGCGAACCAGATCCATACAAGCGCGAGGAGTACGTGCGAACGTTTATCTGGACCGAAGGCAAGAAACCTGCACCTGAAGGGTCCTCCTTCGAAGACTGGCGAGATTTTATCAAATGGGAGGTTAGCCGTCGAGAGCGCGAAGCTGCTGGCGAGGATGTGCCGGAAGGCGTGGATGCGGCGTTTGTATGCGTTCGCGATGAGATGCACCACGACGTTGTTGTTGCCTTAGGTCCTCTGAACCTGCACATCATGTGCGAGAAACCGCTCGCCACCACGCTCGATGACTGCGTCGATATATATCGAGCCGTTGCTCCCTTGCAGAGCGAAAAGGTATTCTCTGTCGGCCATGTGCTGCGGTACTCGCCACACAACATAATGCTCCGCAAACTCCTCCTGGAAGACCGCGCCATCGGCGAGATCCTAAGCATTGTCCACACGGAGCCCGTCGGGTTCTGGCATTTCGCGCATTCATATGTGCGTGGCAACTGGCGCAAGGAGTCAACGACCGCACCTTCACTACTCACCAAGAGTTGCCACGACATGGACATCATCCTATGGCTATTATGCTCACCCACAGATCCCGGCTCCGATGAGCCGCCACATATCCCAACAGAGGTTTCGTCCACGGGGTCGCTGCAGTTCTTCAAACGCAGCCGCAAGCCCAAAGCCGCGGGCGCTGCGACAAACTGTCTAAGCTGCGCCGCGGAGCCGTCGTGCATGTACTCGAGCAAGCGCGTGTACGAGAGCGCGCGGCACCAGGGCCTGGAGACGGGCAACATCCGGTGGCCGATGAGCGTGGTGCTCCCGGACATCGAGAGCTTCGGCGGGGACGTCGAAAAGGCGCGACCGGAGCTCCTGCGGCGGCTGGCGGAGGACTACGACGCGTCGACGACGCCGCAGAGCGAGATCGACGCGCGCAACTGGTTCGGCCGGTGCGTCTTCGAGTCCGACAACGACGTGTGCGACGAGCAGGTCGTGACCATCAGATGGGACGAGGATCCGCTAGCCTCCTGTGCGCAGGAGGGCTACAAGGACGAGGTCGGAAACCGGGGCGCGAAGCAAGCCACCTTCCACATGATCGCGCAGACGAAGCGCCAGTGCCACCGGTTCACCTACGTGTACGGGACCGCGGGCGAGATCTACGCCGACTCCCGCACCATCGCCGTCGAGGACTTCCGCACGGGCGAGCAGCGCTCCTACCACCCCAAGCTGGAGAGCCTGGGACACGGCGGCGGCGACCACGGGATCACGCGGCAGTTCATACTCGCCGTGGACCGCGTGAAGAACCACGGGTGGGCGGCGCCGCGCGCGCAGCGCGAGTTCATCGGGTGCAGCCTCGAGGAGATCATACGCAGCCACGCCATGGTGTTTGCGGCCGAGGAGGCGCGGACGGGGAAGAAGTTCGTCGATTGGAAGAGCTGGTGGGATGAGAAGGTCGGGGCTATGTCGGGGTGATAGAGGCATCTGCAGCCCTTTTTCGTGGAAGTTGTCCCTAGTACACGATTGATTATTTGGTTGGGTAGGGTGCATACACGGTCTTGGGACAGCATTGGGTGAAAGGTGAAGGGTGCATTGGTTTGGGGGGCTATATCAAATTGGTAGGTGACAGAGCATATCATGGTCGTCTTTCACAATGGGAGAAATATAACGCATTATGATTAATCTCAGATTATCGTCACTCGTTCCTCGTACCGGTAGTGACAGCTTATTTCATAGTATTATCCAATTCGAGCACACAGACAGAAAAAAAAAACCTATCATGACCTCGATGTTTTCGGCAGTTCCACTCTCTGGCTGCGTTGCAAGAACTCGGCATAATCCCTCAGACCCTTTTCTCTACGACGCCGTACGGCCAGTTCCTGCGTCGCATCACCAGCCTCGCGATGCCAGACCTCCAGCGTCTGCATGTTCTCGAATATCTGCGACTCGCTGAACCCGCGCCCGGCCTCGGCCGCGTCGATGGCCTTTTCCAAGGCGTACCGAGCCAGCGCGTGGCGTGGGTGGTCCTTGACCGTCGCGACGTCGGTGCCGCATCGGCTTCGGTGGAAATGCGCGATCACTCGCCACGACACCCAGTACGTCCAGTCGTATCGGTCGGACACCGCGTCCGAGAGCTGGAGCGATGCGTGGGCTAGCTGAGCCGAATATTCATCCGAGGGGCCGTGCTGCCAGAGGTAGGCGGCTGGCTCAATGAACCGCATTACGTCTGGTTTATGGTGCGTTTCTCGTGATGGTAATGCGGCCGCGACAGAAGCTACCGCTTTTTTAAGCGATGGCAAATCCGTTCGTTTTGAGTTGAAGAGAATCAAGTCTCCGAGTAGGAAGAAACTAATCGAGGGTACGATGGTCTGGGTGAAGTCGCTGGTCTCAAGCAGCATGCCTATTATACTTTCCATGCAGTTAAATATGAAGTCGACTCCCATCTCGAGCGAATTGTTCTGAAAGACCTCGTCCAAGGCTGCGAATAAGCGGGAAAGCGTGTTGGTCGGCCCCAGTGTCGCCCGCGCGTACCCTGCGAGGTACTTCCAAAGCTCCTTCGCTAGACCATAGTCCGGTGATATAACACTGGCTATCAACAGGTCAAACAGACCGAGGGCGGAAGGAGTCTTGATAATTAGATGTAGTGAGGAGAAGGCCCGCTGGCTGAGTAGAGCACCAAGCGAATTATGATGTCTTGAGAAGAACCAGCAAGCTCGGCTGAAATCCCTTGTAGCCTCGCATAGCTCGCCATCGAAATAGATATTGAAGTCATTCTCAAACGATGCCGATGACAGTTTAGAAGAGTCTTGCCAACTTAATGTGAGGTCCTTGAAACATGTGACGAGGATGTCCTGGGCATGAAGGTGAGATGGAAGAGCTATATGCTGAGGTGCACCCGGCGGAGGCGTCAGCGCTCGCAGATAATTCGGCAGATCGGTGCTGGCGACGAGAGCCTCGAAGTCATCACTTGAAACGCCCTTTCGCTTCATGTAGTTCTCGATGTTGACGGACCTGCCGTGGCGACGAAAAGTCGTAGGCTTGCCCACAGCACCTCGTTGGTTCTGTAATCGCAACATCGTGGCCACGTCTTTCTTCCGATTATTCTTGACAAACCCCCATTGCGCAAATTTAGCCTTGTACATGCGGGCACTGTCTATGAATCAGCATGTGGCTTTGGACGTGGCTACCCATCAGGTCTGTTGACTAACGTGGCTTTTAAGCCCTTCTGCTGCATGATTTCTATCAGCTCGCTCAGGGGCTTGTTCTGTTCGATGTATAGTTCATGTATCTCCTCCTTATAACGCTCCCATACTTCTGATGGAAGATGGCGACGGGATTGCTTCTTACCATCTTGATCTTGCTCTGTTGACTGAGAGGCACTGGATGGTGACTTCTGGAAGCCATTTTCATCACTACCTGCGTATCCCTGCCCTTGCTGTGGTATAACCATGCGTCTGTAAGGCAGTGATAATGGGTTCGGATTATAGTAGAAGACCGCCGTATCTACTTGAGGTGACGCTAAAGTGTAGCTTTCCGACGAAGTTGAAGAACGGCTAACCGTCTCATCATACTGTCTTGGTCCAGAGCCAGAACTTGAACTCTCAGCCTTGACAATATTTCTAGGGGAATAATCGCTAGTCCATGCAGTATCGCTCCCAAATTCCATTGTCTGTCGTGGCTCATCCCGGTTCAACCCAAGGGCCGACCCCACCGGATGAGAATAGAAGTATTTCGACGTGTGACACATTGGCGCCTGCTAGTTGAACGATTGACGATTTTTGATGTAGAATTGACATGTCCTATATTGCTCGTTTCGGGGTTTGAATGACATTCATTCGTATTGTCAAACTTGGATTTGTAAAGAGGTATCTATTTTGGTACATGGGTAAAGTGAGGCTTAGCAAGTCGACAGTTCAGGAAGTTGACAAGTCTGCAGTCAAGAAGAATCGCCTCTTGGCAGACTATTTGGGTGATCTTTATTTAGCTTCGTCGCAGTCTGCTCTACGCCTCTGCAACCATACCTGAAAAGAGAAGCGAAGCAAAGCAATAAATTCTAAGCCCATTCATCATCTACGGTTTTTACTGATTCCAAGTGGTGTCGATCGTGTGGCCGAGTAAAGCATGCGTGGCCACAGGTGCAGAATGACAACATTTCGTTGTTCGTT